GACATGTTATTTATTTGTATATTATTGTCAACTATGATAGTGTTTTTATCACTTTTTTTTGTTATATTTCAAAAATAAACTTATTGTAAAATATTTTTCTATTGCATAGTATGTTAAATAAACTATAAGGCCTTAGGATGAAAATTAGAAAAAAAAAATCTCTTGATTATGTAAGGGATTTATTTTTTGGCAATTGCTAAAAATCATTTTTTTCAAAAAAAAAAAAAATATTATGAGAAAATTGAATTCTAAAAAATATGTGTGTGTATTTTGTAAATATTTATACTCAAAATTTTATTTTGAATTTCTACATAAAGAAGACTACTTCTCTAACTTTTATAAATAATAATAATGACATTATATGACTATAAATTTTATAATAAAATAATAATTGAGTATTATATGGTGAACAAGAATAAATAAAATTTTCATTTTTTCTTATATCAATGAATAAATATGTATTCTAAAATCAAATAAATATTAGTATGACATGTTAGCGGAATTATATATTAATTACCATGTTAAATTTTTTGGCTTAAACAAACGCCACTTATTAAAAGATGTCAAATATGAATGATCCAAGCCTATTGTCTTTTTTTTTTGTCTAGACGTATAAGTCCTATAGAAATAACTAATTTATTATATGTATCACGTGCATCGCATTTTTGATTGCACACTATTTTTTCATTTATTTAATTTAAATGTTCAACCTATGAAGTATTTTTACTAATCTTATTCTAACCATGTTGTTTTGTTTTTTTTAATAATTTCTACACTCTTTCCTAATCAATTATTTATTCTTAACATGAAAATGTTTAATATGTTTGTAGAAAATGTACAGGTTACCACTTCATTAAATGTCTTTATTATATGTTGTTGTTTCGCGTGTAACTAATAGAAAGGGGTTGAAGATATTAGTTTGTGAGAATAATGAGTTGACCAATAATTAAACTCATAAGTTTGTGTACAAAGAGGTCTTTAAGAATATATGATTGTATATATCTTTGTCGAATATTATCTTATTGTACAATTTCCCTGCGTATTATAAATCTCTTTATTCATCTTATAATACAATATTCTCCAAATAAATATATCTCGTGCATCGCACGGGCACGTACTATATATATCCCGTACATTTTTCTTTAATCATGTATATATTAATAATCCTCGCTAAATAGCCTTAAAATTGTGCACCCCGTGCATCGCACGGGCTCTGCACTAGTACTTATATTAAAAGCTAACCTATTTACCAAAAATAGTAGCAAGAAAAGTCAACTCACATTGAATGCATACTTTATTGGGAAATTTTTTATTATATGCATTAATTGCTTGATATATACATTTCCTATTAAATATGATCAAAAAGATTTTTCCTTAAATAATTTTATTAACTTCTGCAATGATTTTACTGATATATATTATAACTAGTACAATACCCGTGTATTACACGGGTGCTTGTTAAAAAATTATTCTTAAATTTTAAAATTAATGAGAAAATTATATTAAATTTAGTTTACTTTTTTACAAAAAAAATATATTACTATATATTTTAGAATGA